CGCAGACATAATGGTGTGTAACTAACATTTGTATTTAAACTTAACTTACTTTTTATTGTAACACTTTTAGTTGTATTTTGTTAGTTTTTACACTTCATTTCACTCAGTTTCAGCTCCATTTATGAGCTTAAATCATTCAATCAGGTGAGAAGCTTTAAAGCAGTGTTAGTGATTTTAGCTTTCAACAAAAAAACATTTTTATTATTTATTTAAAAAATTGTTTTTGGTAAGGTGGGTAGGAATCTGGACTACGTTGAAGTGGTTTAAAACATTTGCACAGCAGATAATCTGGTTATAAGAGCTGATGTAAAATAAAAAAAGAACAACATAAAACTAAAAAAGAAACACTTCATTCCTGTTTTGTTGAAGTTGTTTGGTTCTTTACGTCATGATTTTTTTGTAATCTGTGTGTGTGTGTGTTTCTGCAGTGGGTCTGGACGCAGCAGGTAAAACGACTCTCCTGTACCGACTGAAGCTGGCCGAGGTCGTCACCACCATCCCTACGATCGGTGAGTTTTGTGTTTGTTTACACCGTGGGATTAAAACAAACGGAATAAACCAAATAAGTGTGTGTTTGTGTTCAGGTTTTAACGTGGAGACGGTGGACTATAAGAACATCAGTTTCACAGTTTGGGACGTGGGTGGTCAGACCATCATCAGACCTCTGTGGAGACATTATTACACCAACACACAGGTAAAACTTGCTGCAGCTCACCTGTTTGTTAAAACAACAAAAGCTTTAAAAAATAAACACAAATAGACCATCACAGTCACAGGTTTTATGTCTGTTTGTGTTCAGGGTTTGATTTTTGTGGTGGACAGCAACGATCCTGAGAGGATTAAAGATGCTGCAGATGAGCTGCACATGATGGTGAGGAGCGAGTTGCAGATTTTTTTTAATTATTTTTTTTTGTCATTTAAGAAAAAAAAATCAAAATTTCTCATAAAAAACCTGCAGTTCATCAGTTGAAGAAGTTTTATCCAATCTGAATGTTTCAAAATGTTTCAGGGCTTCACTGATTGGTTAAATCAGACTCAACAGTTTTGTGTGTTTTTGCAGCTGGAGGAGCACGAGCTCAGGGGCGTTTCTGTTCTGGTTTTTGCCAACAAGCAGGATTTGCCCCGAGCCATGTCGGCCAGCGACATCACCGAGGCTCTGGGTCTGTCCAGGGTCCAGCAGCCGGTACGTAGCCCCCCTGCAGCTGACCACGATCACAGAAACAAGACGACAAACATAGTTTCTAATAGTTAATAATAAAATCTGTTGTGTTTCTGTTCAGTGGTTTGTTCAGGCCTCCTGCGCCGTCAGCGGCTCCGGTCTGGTCGAAGGTCTGGACTGGCTCTCTGACCAGATCCTGAGAAAGTAACGAGGGTCTCTGGTTCACTCCGTCTGATGGATCCAGGAGGGAAAACCTGAACGGTTTACAGGAAAATCTCAGGATTGTCAAAATTTTATTTTATTTTTAATCAGATGAATTCTGATTAGAACAAAAAAATGTTTATGGCTTTGGATTAACTGTAATATTTAAATGTTGCTTTTATATATCTATAAAAAGGTTTTCTATGAGGAGGTGAATTAAAGGACTGGAGATTTCTGCACTGTCATAATTTTTAATGAATTGCTGCACTTTATTCTGTGTGCAAATATCTTATTTGTATTTGAGCCTCCATGCATTACGTTTATCTTTATGAGAATGTGTATTTATTGTTAAAATCATCATGTTTGAATGTATTTTATAATAAAATGGTATCATGGTTATGTTGGACTTTTATTAAAGGTTTGATTTAGATTCAACTCTTTCTTCACCACAACTGACCGAAGCAACAACCTCATTACATTATTCCTCCACTAATATCAGTTACATTAAAACAAGTCATGCAGCTTTAAAAAATATTAAAATGTGAACAGAATACTATCACACAGACTCAGACGGGTGGAGTTAGTGTTTTTATTTAATCACCAGAACCTTTTTATTAATCGTTACCCTGGAACACTGGTCAGCGAGACGTATTTACACCATCAGTCCTGTTGAGTCGCTCAGCTCTGAAACGTTTACACTCAGTTACAGCTGCTACCCCCACTCTAAGAAAAATATTCATTTAGACCTTTAGAGAGAAGCCTCTGCCACTTTAATCTGCCCATAAATAAAAACGAGTTGGATTTAGAGAAAAAAAAAAAAACATGATAACCATAAATCACCAGAAGTTATTAAACAACATGATCCTACAAAACGAACAGAAAACTGGACTTTATGACACGTTCGTCTCCGGTTTTTAACACTGATGTTTGAAGTTTCTTCAAAATGACAAAAATGAAAATGACTTCAGAGAACCGTGAGGTGGTTTTACAAACCAAACTCAGATTAAATCTGCCTTCAGATTAACGTTTTTACTGCAGGAGCTGAACTGACTGTTTTCTAAAACATCGACAAAAGAAAAGTTTGGAATCCTTTCAGAGGCCAGAATCATCAAAAAAGGGTACAAAATCCACTCAAATTTATCTAAAAAGTCTAACTTTTGATATTTATTTAGGGTTTTAAAAGTTAAAGCTTTAAATCCAGACCTGTGAGTTTTAACTGTAATAATAAAAACATTTAATTGGTGTAATTCAATTATAAGAACCCAAAAACACTGTCCATAATTAAAAAACAAAACAAACAAAAAAACTTAAGAATCAATGTGCTGTCTGGAGTCTTTTAGTGTTTTTTTTTATTAAAACAGTTTTATGTTTTTTACTTCAGTGTTTTTGTTCCCCATCGGATATAAAATAAATTTAGTTTTCTTTTTTTTCAAAGAGCAAACCTGTCAGAATTTTGCCAAAATATTGTTTTATTTCCTTTAATATTGGTTTTAAAAATCCATTTCAGAGTCTGAGTGTTCTGTGATGAAGTGAAGGAAGTCCAGAGAAGAAATGAAACTTATTTTTTATAATCCTAATCTGTCTGACACAAATAAATGACCGRAGATGTAAAATTTGGCACCGACAGAAACAAACTCAACATTTAGTGAGATTWTTTCAGCTCCTTTATGGCAGTGATGTTTCTTCACAAAATAAATGTAAGATTTTCCCTCTTTAGTGTTTTTCCACGTCTGGATTTTAGTATTCAGGGGAATTTTGGCAGCTTTAAGCAGTTTCAAAAAGCAAGTGTGTCAAAAGTTAGTGAAGAACTGAAGCTTGATATAAAAAGGAACTCGTGACAAACAAACTAAAGACGTAATAAATCGCAGGAAATGTCAAAATAAAAGCTCCAGAGTCGTTTTGGGCCACTGAAAAAACAAAACGCTGCTCAGATTATGAAAAACTAACTGAAAGATCAATTTATCCTGGTTGTTTAAACCTACTTTAAGATGAAAATATTTGAATAAAATAAAGTAACCATTGATGTTTGTGAGTATTTTTACATTTTAGGGCAAAAGAGCAACTTTTAAATTTAATTTTGTTTAAATATGGAGGTGAGTTTTTACTACGTTTCTGGGTAAAAAAAAGTCTTTAAAGATACGTAGGTACAGACTGGACTTTAAATTTCTACTTTAAATGCGACATTTTTATATTCTTACTTGAAAGATTCCTAATAATTTAAATTCCAGCGAGGACTTTTGTCGCTAAAGCGTAAAAATAAAAATAAAAACCAGCGACACATGAACAGAAATTTAAAAAAACTTCCTCTTCAGGTTAAACGTCAAGGCGTCTGACAACAGGAAGGCCCTTTCAAAATAAAACTCTGTGCTTTCTTCTCTAATTTAACCTATTTGAACAGTTTTTACAAACAAACAGTCTCTTTGTGGAACCGTTTCTCTCCCCGCTGCACACCTGATAAATTATCCTCCATCTTTATTGTGTTAGCTCATTTATAAAGTAAAAAATAAAAAAAATGAAAATTACAGGTTAACTGAAAGTGAACGTTTTTGTTTTTTTCATTGTGAATCAATATAAAAGCAGCGGTTTTTGTTTTTCTGTTGTTTTTTTGCAGAGAATAAAACAAGTTAAAGTTTCCTCTTCTCCTCCTACAGCGAAGGGTGCGTTTGGTTTACCCCTCCATCACAGCAGAGAGGAAACGTTTGTTTTTCAGCCTCAGGCGGCCCGGGCGGGCGGTGCCGTGTTCTCCAAAGATTCCTGAGCAGATATCGGGGTCTGAAATTGTCCGGGACTCGTCTGGGGGGGTGGGGGGCCGAAAACAACAAAATCCTCCGAGGCGCTTGTTAGGCTTCGGACTCACCCCTCTTCTTCCCCTCCTCGCCGGGGTCGCTCTCCTCCGATTGGCTGCTGCTGAGCACCAGGAACTGTCCGTCAGGGGCGGGGGGGTTGGCGGGGCGACTCGAGGCGGCGATCAGGCGACTCTGTTCCTCAAGATCCTGAAAATAAACACGGTTCAGGCGGGGTTTTAAAATAGAAATCTCACCTTTCGTTAACTCGGCTCGTATTTCATGATGCAACTCCAGAGTAACTAAATTAGATTTTTTTACATTTAAAGTGCCTGTGACATTAAATTTTTGAGATAAATGTGATTGCACTTTTGGAAAGATAACATTGATAACATATTGCAAAAGCAATTTCACACCACTGAGATGAACGGTTGTTGAGGTATTTGCACGTGAAACAACAGGAAGTGATGTCAAAGGGGAATGTTTGCATGTAAACAGAGCGTTGCTACAACAATTATCAACACAGACAACAGTTTCTTTAGATAATTTTAGTCTCTATAAGAGAGAGATGAAGAAAAGTTAAAGTTCAAATAATATTGTTTTAATAAACAAAGACCAGAGAGTTTTCTTTTTTAAAGAGTTCCCCTTTGATGTCACTTCCTGTTTCACTTTAGTTGAACCAAATTCAAAAGGAAAGCATGCCAATTAATGGGTTTTAATGGGTTAAATCATGTGTTTTATGCCAATTTTCCTAAATATGAAGATATTTTCTTTGATCTTTTGTATTTGAAGAACAGGCACATCAAACTGTTGTTGTTGTTCTTTTGTTCAAATTTCACCTTTTCTATCTGTCTTTGTTTGCTCAGCTCCTCCTGCTGTTTCTCTTTGGCCTTGTCTTGCACCTTCTTCTTCTCCTCCGCCTTACGGCCCTGCAGGAACAAGACGTAAATAACAAAATTTTAAAAAACACCCACAATGCATCAGGGTGTCTCTCGGTCTCACCATCTCGGAGTGGAAGGCAATCTGCTTGGCCAAACCCACGCTGTCGCAGATCTGAAACGCGTGAAGACGACAGGAAGTTCAGACACATAGAACGTGGTGTTAAACCGTGAGAGGAATCAGAAAAACCACCTTCTCGCCGTCGTTGTTGGACTCGAAGATGTAGCAGACGACTCGAGTGTCGCCCCGCCCGGCCGCCGCCGCCTGCAGGACGAAACCAAACAGCCTCTTGTTGTCCTGGTGGGACGAACACTGGACCACGCTGGACAGAGGGAACTGCGGCGGGACAGAGGACATCAGCAAAGAGACGACTGGGAGAAGCCAAAYCAGAGAAGCTGACATGGTCTCACCCTGAGTCGAGTGACCTGAGTCTGAGGGTCGATGAGCCTGAAAAACACAAATATTTCAGTATTTTTTAWATGTATCCTGGAAGGGGGCGTGGCTTCCTGCGGTTCCTACTTGAGGCAGTCGCAGGTGACCAGCAGGTGGGACTCGGTCATCCTGAAGATGTTGTGGATGGCTCTGGCAGCCAGAATCTGCCTCATGGTTTCAGAGATGACGTCCGTCGACTCGGCCGTCCTCACCTCCATGGAGCCGAGGAAACGAACGATGAAGAGCTGGTGGAGGATGGAGTCTGGGCGGCGGGAAGACGGAAACTTAATTCACCTTAAATAACTGAGAGACGCTGTCCAAACAAAGACGGTACCTTCACTGTCCTCTGGCGAGCTTTCCCCCGACTCTCCGAAAGGATTACTCCGTCTGTGGACACGCCCACTCACGTTACATCACAGACCCACCAGGTAAGTTAAAAAAAAAAACAGCTCTTTTACTCACCTGCCGGGCGGCGCTGCCGTCTTYTTCTGCCCAGAGTTCTCCTCGCTGACGGGGGAGATGATGTCGAACTGGATGGGCGTGTCCGGAGCAACCAGAGCGTCCAACGAGAGGACMGAGAGGGCGGGGGACGGCTCGGAGCCCGCAGAGCTGATGCTGCTCGCTCGGCCRGTTCGCCCTTTACTGGATCCAAACAACGGAGAGAAAAACAGCTAAAATCATCACAGCTGCTGCGCCGAAACATTTAATAACTCATCTGAGCAAACCGAAACCTGTTTATGTCTGAACCAAGGTTATAATAGTTTAGAAATTTTCATTATAGTTCAGTTTTTTTCGCTGTGACTTTTTTCTTTTAAATCAGTTAATTTTAATTAGTTTTTACAGTGGATTTGCTATTTTTTATTAGTTATTATTGCAT